TTTTTWAMYWAMMWTTTTTTAATTTTTATAAGTTATTGTTAATTTTAAATGGTACTTCATGAAACCGAAAGTTTTTGGTTTATCCGTTGAATTTTCGTAAATATATATAGCATAAATACYACMTATTTTATCTTAGGTCGGATAATATCCGTTCGTTACCTTATCGTTGGTCTAACGACTGGTAGAATTACTTCCACATTGTTATACAGTGAGACAGCACAGAATAATTGTATTAGTACGTTAATTTGAATGGTTTTAATAACAATTAACAGTGCCCAGTACGCCGAAAGTTCAAAGTGAAAGTGCCAAGTTACGTCTAATTAAACTAATATTTAGTGTAATAATATGAGCTAATAATAAATTATGAATTATAATAAATAATAATAAAAATTTATTTATGCATATTTTAGTAAATAAAATGCATATTTTACAATTTCTTATTGCATATAAATCCTAGCCCTAATGATGAGTAACGTGTACAGCATGATTAAGATGCTAACCACTGCTAGCTTTGAATATCTTTTATGGGAGGCTGGRCTTTAAGAAATCGAATCTTCCCTAAACACACTTCCAAAAACTTTTTACACATTAGATAATAGGAACATTAAGATTTAAGGGTAGAATCCATACCGAGTTGATTACGACGCCGTCGTTGWCGCACCGCCACTGAGATCGTCTCGTCGTCGTCGTCGTCGTCGTCATCGGCTACCCCAAGGCCCACGGCCGTTGCAGCCGCCGTCAGTTCTGTTAGCAGTTGGCTGGCCTCGGAATCAATGGTACCATGCCGGCGAGCGCCGCCCATATGATGCTGCTTGTCCTGATGTCCGTCCGCGCTGCATCGGTGGTTCGGGAGCAGGGCGCAAGCGGCGTAACGGTACGCCAACGCCGCGTAGTGTCGGTCTTTGATCCGGCATACGGCCACCCAGACATCCGGCAACATAGACACCGGTGTCGTCGTGACTCCTTGTTCACCACCGTTTTCCTTACAACGACGAACGGCTCTTTCGTTAGGCTGGCGAGTGCAACAGTTGTACACTACGTCCCCATACATTCGCGACAACTTCATAACAAAAATGAAATATATTATTATTATATCGTAACATGCGGCCGCATCAATGACATAAACGCAGAAAAAATGTTGGGGGGTGTTTTTTTAAGATCAGTTATTGATAAGAATCAAAGTCCAATGAATCCTTTAAAAACGTATTCATTTACTGACAAAAAATAAAAAATAAATAAATCAAACTACTCTACGAGACATGAAAGTTCACTGGTGCATCTAGGAATTTTGTATGTGTGTGGAGGGGGGTTAAACCCCATAACTTCCAAAACCTTGTGATTGTGCCACTTCATCACACGCACATTAATAGTCATTTATTGTTAACCAGAAGGCTACGGCAGGGGTAGCGTGAAAATTACATATTGCCGAAATATTGCCGCTTATGATAGAAACAAGCTGGGCCCTTATACAATGAGTTTAGGTAATAATGTAATATGTATATGAGTAAGAACTCACGTGTGCCGCTTCACGAGCCAACTCTGTCCATGATAGAGTATTTGCGGTTACWTCGCACGTCCGTCCGACATTATCACCAACGACACCTGATGCTGATGTTCGTCTTGTAGCGACATCTCGGTCGCCAAGGCCACGACGGACACCACTGCCAAGCACTTCAGCGTCGGGATCAGCTTCTTTATCTCGGTCACTTCGATGGTGTWGACGACGACACCGATTCCGAACGGACGTCAAGAACCGCCATTGTAATTTCTCGAAAGCGCATTCATGAGCCTGAGCCTATAGGTATAGGTATACGTATATTGTTACGATAATACAATAATTCAATGACCATCATTAGGCCAAAAGTTGTATAAAATGTGAATATGACAAACAACATACAATAGATATTTTTGTTTAAATAAATACATTTAAAAGTTCTAGTTAGAATATTGATTAATACTGATGCTTTTGGAACAAACACAAACGTACACAACTGTCGGCCTTTTTTCCATCAACATATATACGTATTAAGCCGCTGTCATATGTCGATGAGTATAAAAATATATATTTATTATAATAAATTATCATCACTGACCATCATGACTGCGTATAGAACGCCTGTGGCACGCAGATCGGCGGCCCGCGCAGGTGCGTTGGCGAACGTGTCGCCGATGTGCCGATACGCTCCGGCCGCTCGCAAGAAGCACTGCGCAGCGGCCGCGGCCCCGTCAGCTGCTTCAGGTCCAGTCGATGTCGACAATGAGCCAGTCCGCTTTCCCGAGCCAATGCTCATGCTGWAGTCGTCATCTTCGCCGTCGTCTGCGTCGTCTCTACAACGACGGTCATACTTGGCGCCCATTTGAGTGTGCACCGCGGCCACGTTAAATAGAACGCACGCTTGCTCAAAGCGGACGGTACGTTGTCCACACGACGGCACTGGGCCACCAAACGAATCGTACCTTAACGAACGCAGGAATGGTATAAGTTTGAATAATAATTKGAAATGTTATGATGTTTATGTTTGTTTGTGGGATAATTGTTYTTTGTTTCTACCAGTGTAGTATAATATAATATGTACGTTGAATATTGCTTCTAAAAATCCTGTTTTTATTGTTTTTAATCTTTTATTATTTCGAGCTAAGTCAGTGTGAAAGCTATACTTTAATTTTCATCAACGTTGTTATTGCACATTGCATAATGATGTATACTAGCATCTATATGGCTGTATGATGTATATAATATTTGGACGGTAAACCACTACTAGCCATAATATGGCAGTGTACCTATACAGAAAATAATTTTAAAAAATAATTCGTAAAACGGGTAATGAGACCAAAGCAAGCCTCAGATTTAATAAATAATATGAATATAAATATAAATATAAATATTATAATATTATATTGTTATATCTTTCATGGATAATAGTTATAGAAATAATATAAAAATAACAACCAGATACCTAGTCAATTATAATTTGGTGTGTATTTAAAAAAAAAATTTTAAATCATGATTGAAAATTTGCTGTTTGGGCAAGTATGTAGATGTGCATGGACTCAATAACTGATCGTTTAGTTTTAGTCAATGATAAATTTTAGTTATTACAAATAAGAAGTTAATACAATACAACAAGTATAATGTATGATAACATTTTGAATAAAATTACCACACGCCTGCTAATAAATAAAACGACAAAATGTTTTGCTAAGACTACAATGAAAACGAAATATAATAATACCGGTTATATTATAGCCATCTGTATCGTTTTTATGTTTGTACATTTTTCATAATTATTATTATACATTTTAAAAATATATTACCACTCRAAATAAATGGCTGGTGGTGGTGACATTAATGACGAGCCGACGACGGCTGAGTGCTGTTGCTGTTGTTGCTTAACGTGACGATAATTGGAGTCCTGCTGCTGGCGATTATGTTGGTGATTATGTCGCGAAGTTGTCGTCACGGGAACYGCCAATGAAGTGGGTGGGAAAAATCTGCGATCAACGTAATACAGCTGCCTGTAGTACCGCAGCAAAAGTCGAACTCCGTCCAAATCTCTGCTAGGCGTCTGTGTGTCCTGTAAAATGATAATAATAAAAAAAATTAATATTAATTTACATGGGATTCAGATACACATTATAAAACCAGTATAAATTGGAATTTAGAACTATAGTCTCCTCTACAAAATATTTGTGCAACTGAAATGTTACATTATTAAAAACAAATCGCCATAGTCATCATAATATAAACATTTATTTTATTTTATTATTTAATATGGTTTAATAATAAATTATAAATAATTCAAAATGACTAATGTAAAATATATTATCARGAATACGGCTGAGGATTATTAATAATAATTGTTATCCCTCAAAGAGTGTGTGAACCACCATTATAGCAACTACTGCATCTGTTCGAARTCTGAATCGCGTTTATACGAGTATTGTATGTATAATATCATAATAATATTATATTATTATTACTCTGAGATTGAGATTATATATTCTAATATTCTATAAAACTCTRTATGAGTCTATGACCGTGAATACGTATTTATATGATAACATGATAAGAAATTTGATTTGATATTATAATAGTATATAAAAAAAGTCAAGTACCTACTTTTATATAAATTGTAAATTGTAAAGTCAGTTCACCTTATGGGGTGGGAGCCCCTTCCCAGTGGTTACCACTTCGCTCCCTCCCTACCCATAGGGACACCCAGCAGCAAATTACTTTTATATATTGACAAGTTATTCTTCCGTGGATAATATAAGCATAGTTACTAATTTTTTTAGATAAAACGGATCTAAGTTTATATWCTTCACGACATAACGATACGTTTTTTTAAGTTTTCACATCTCAAGTTTATTTCACGTTTAAACTTTAAGCTTTAAATTTAATTAATTCTATGGTACGATTTCAAATTCAACTTTTTTATTACACTTCCCTCCCCCTTCAAATATTTATATAGCAAAATATGAGAAAATACAAATCTGTCAATAACATATAATATTTAATATTTATAATACGTACCACTCGGAGCTGCGTCAATTCGTCGATGGCTTCGCGTAACGACAACGAAAGCCGCCGCCGCCGCACCGTACCGCTACTGCCATCGCAGTCGTCTCTATCGTCTCCTAAATCAACTTGGCCAGAGTTTGTCTCTTCCGGTGCCACTGACAAATCCACGCCATAGTGTTGATTGATGAACCGCTGTGTAATTTATAAAATAACCACCAGAGAAATCGTGTTTAGTTGGGTAAAATACAATATAACCGAGTTGTAGAAACCAAACAGGTATGTCAGTATTAGAATCATTGGCGTGTGTGAAGCACTGAAGCAGCAGGATACTCAAAAATAAAAATAAATTCATATCGCTCCTCATTTTCTAAGTTATAACATATTTAAATCCTTTATTAAGTATATTTGTAATTTTAATTATTCAATAGGTTTTTTACGTTAAATTTAAGTGCAATCTATAATAAAGTATAGAATCCGTATACTATTCGGATACTCGCGTACTGCCTCATAGGAAATATGATGATAAAGTGGTATACCTAAACTGACACACTATAATATACATACACAACTTCGATAGTCTGTGAATCTGCGATAAAAATATAAAATAATATTACCTCGAGTGGTGGTCCAAAATCKATTGGCCTGGTGTCTTTCAACGGCACGGCAATCATGGGCATTAACCGTTGCCGGTGCAGTCGCCGTCGGTTCGCCATTGAACCATCCGCGCTAGCATTTTCCGAGGCTGGATCACAACGGCTTCCGTCAAAATTATTTTCGTCGTCGTCGTCATTGTCTCGGTGCTGGTACACGTCAACTGAACCATTGAGCTCAGCCAGCTCGTCGGCCAGCAATCGCACGTTGGAATCTAGGAAACTCAGCTCCAGTGCCACTGTCTGCCTGATGAGCTTTCTGCTTTTGCTTTTACTCCTGCGGCCACCGCCACTACCGACGATACCGCTGTTATCGCTACTGCCGCCATCTTTGGTGGTGGCCCTAAATCATCCAGCATAACTCATATTATTAATACGAAGACACTCGGAGCAAATTAGATTTCATCATGAAACGTAATTTCTTGATAAATATTTTATTAGATCAGTGATTGCAGGTTGTATACCATGTGGTTATCTAGTGGTCAACCATTAATTAACCACGAYCATTTACGTTTTAAACGATTTACGTATGCCATAATATATATAGGTACTGTACAGTTGAGTCAGGCGCGGATTCAAGGGGGGCAAGGGTTGATCCCCGCTCCGGTAGAGTCTGGCGAATTCTAGAATGTCTGTGTTCGGTGAGCTAATAAAACRCATTGCCTTGCCGATTGGCTAAAATGTTATCCAATATGGCCCCCTTCGTAAGTCTATTCTGGATCTGCGGCTGAGTTGAGTTCAATCCTACTTATACCGTTTGTTTACAAAATATAACTACCACGTTCCACGGTGAGTTTTTTAGGAGATGGCATAACATTAAGATAATGTATACGGTAGGTATCAAGCCTGGGCATAAACGCGTTAAAAAGTTAAAAGTTAAGTTAATTTTAACTTTTAACTTAACTTTTTAAAATTTAATTTTCATAAACTTAATYTTTAACTTAACTTRTTTGAATTGATATAAACTTATTAAATAACGAGTTACTTTTAATCAAATTCAAGTTAAGTTAATTTATAAATAATTAAATAATAAATATAATGAAGTATAAAGTTGG